TTAGGTTTGATATGGTTTTGTTCAAAAAAAACGAAGAAATAACCGAACCGATAAATTATATATAAAAAATATTATTCTAATAAACAATTTTAAAGATCTTATATGTGTTTTCATAAAAAATTATTTATAATTTACTTATGAAAGTGAAAATGCCAATGTGAGAATATTTATCTTATTGATTCATGTACGCGAGTGTCTATAACAATTCTTTATGAAATTGAAAATGTTATTGTCTCTTCCTTCTAGAGCAAATAATGATTTTTGAAGTTTTATTCATAGTAAATTCAATGATTGAAAGTTATGTAATATTAGTCATTCTAACTATTTTTCGTTTTTAATGAATTGTTGTCATTTTTTTTCACGTTTTGAATGAATTGTTTCTTTTATTTTTATCTATGATTAATAACCGAATAACCAAATCAAACGGAACCAAAATCGATAACAACCAAACTGATAGATATATATTATATTTGATTTGATTTGATTTTGATAATTTTAAAACCGAATAAATTAATTTAATTTTAATTTTGACCAATAACCAATTTAAACCTAGCCATAAACACCCTCACTTTTTATTAGTGTAACTAGTACCGACAGACTAGTGGGCAACCTTAAAGATATCATGGTGAATGAGAGCTGACAAAGACATCATCATCAGACAAGAATTTTTAGCACGAAAATCATTGTATTTAGTCATCTAAACCATTAACCACAAAATCCTTCCATTTCACTACGGTGTACAAAATCGAATCGAAAACCGAATCAAACCGCAAATCGAGTCAACCCGAAAAAATACCCGACTAGTGATTTGGTTTGATTTTGGAAAAAAAAACCCAACTATATTTGGGTTGGTTTGGTTTTAACTAAAAAAAACCAACCCGAGACCAAACCAATCCGAATTTATATATATAATTTTAAATTTTATTTTATACATAAAAATATTTACTTTGATATAATTTTTAAATATTTCTTATACTTTTCCATAGTTTTTATCTTTTAATATATTATTTCAAGTTTGAAACTTAGAATTATGAATGAGCCAATAAAGATTATAGTCCATAGATGTTGGTAATTATAATAAAGCTTAAATCAAAATCAAATTAATACTAATGCAAAAAGAAAATCAATTCAATACTAAGAATGACAATAATATTGAATATTTTTTTTTTAGTTTTACATTGATTTAGACAATTAAAATACATAATCTAATTTTAATTTTCTTTAATATTTAGTCATGTAACTAATACTTATTAAAATTAATTTTAGCATGATTTAGTACTTTTAAATTATGATAATTTTCATTATGACTTGTTAATTTGTAATATTTGTTTTACGCAATTTCATTATTATTATTTTTGTTGGATATTTTAGTGTCATTAATCATATTATATTTTTAAGAAACAGCTTAGATAGTTGTGTTTTGGTAGGACTAAATAAATATTTGAAGTACAAGTAAATTATATGTTTGTATGAATACTTTACCGGAAAAATCCGAAACAACCCGAAAAACCGAAAAACCCGAGGTTGAAAAACCCGAGTTTTATTGGTTTATAAATTTAAAAATCTGACACAAATGGTTTGGTTTGATATTTGAAAAACCCGAACCAACCCGGTCATGTACACCCTACATTTCACTAGTGGAGTGGTAAGGAATTATAAAAAAAACAGGTCTGTTACAAAAGAGTGAATTTAATTTTAAAATTTTTAGGGATAAGGGTCTGAAAAATACCTTAACTTTGGTCGAATTTGTTGTTGCGATACTAAACTTTCATGAGGACCTATAACCTCCCTAGACTATTTAATACCGTATTTTTTTACCCCCTGAACTATTTAATAGTGTATTTTAAAGGTATATATGTGCCCATGTGGACACATTACTATTTATAATTTTGTATTATTTTTTATGTCCACGTGGGCAAATATATATGTTTAAAATATGGTATTAAATAGTCTAGGAGGTAATAGGTCTTCATGAAAGTTTAGTATCGCAACAACAAATTCGACCAAAGTTGGGGTATTTTTCAGACCTTTATCCCAATTTTTTAACATAAATTTGTTATATTTTAAAATTATACATTCAATTTTTTTAATAGTTCGGCCGTTATTATTTTATTGTTTTTTAAAGCTAAATATAAATTTTACTTCTTTGAATTTAAGAAGTTATCGTTAAATTGGTTAGAGTTTAATTACATTTTATTACTAATTAAATAGATAAGTTAATTTTCTATCAAATTATTTTGTATCTAATATGTTTGCATAGTAACTAAGTAATTAGAAGTTTAGAATTAGAAATCAAGCTACAACATTTTCACTATTCACATTTTGTTAGAATGTTGGCAAGATATTGTTTTGTACTCCCGAGTCTCAAAATGTCTATCACAATTCACATGGACATATTTAAAACTCAAAGAACAAGAAATTATAAAAGTAATGATACAAATATGGAATAATGAGTAAGACAATGTTTAACTACCTATTAACTTTCTACTATAATTCATGTTATCGTAGCCTCTCATTAGCGGCAGATCCAGGATTAGCTTCTCAAGGCTTTCATATAAAGTCATGTATCGTTAAGCTGAAGTTGTGTCATATCATGTTTAATTACTTCTTCAGTTTACATTTACCTCTTATGAACAATCCATAGTAAACCTCTCACACCTCCGCACAGATATACATCTTCTCTTCATATGTCTGAACCATCTCAGTCTTACTTCCACCATTTACCCCCCACCAATGTCACTCCTATCTTAACTTAGTCTCAGATATCTTCATTTCTAATTTGATCTCCTTCCTAATTATTAACTTGATCTCTCAATTGCACAAGGCCATCCCACCTTAAAAGGGTAATAACGTCAAAGTCATGCCCAATGTTACCATTAGGTTAGGCTTCAGTTCATCAATTTTTCTATTGAGGTTTTATTAGCTGCTTTTATTGCTACCACTAACATTTCCCAATGCTCATAATGTCACCCAAAAAAAGAAAGAAGAGGGGATGGACAGACATTTATGTCAATTTCACTCCAAGTTGGTCAAAAAAGCTTCGCAATTTATTCCATTGGTTCAACAATAGTTGTCTATTATATTAAAAATAGTTATACAACAATACTTGTTCAATTTAAAAATTCAAGAAATAATTTAGCTATTGTGTCTATTTTACCCTTACTATTAAATACTATGTATCATCTAACATATTTCTCAAAACATTAAATTTAATAAAGCCAAAGGATAATATAGTATCATTACACTTATTATTTATTATTTCTTAAAGAGTGTGTCGATCAATAGTGGACAAATATTGTTGAACAAAGGGAGTATTTGGAAATACTAACTGGTGTATTGAATAATCTGACAAATTTAATATCAGTCTATATTAAAAAATACATTACCATTTTTATTTATACTTTTATCATATAAAAAAACATGTTTTTCTTTTCTTCATATTTTACCTTCAATATTAATTATTTATTCTTCAACTTATTTTTAATATCTAAATTAAACGTCAATAAATATAAATATTATGATAAATATTTATGTCAATTATCATTTTTTAAAGTAACTATAAAGTTTAAATTAGACGAGTAAAAGCGAACATTAGCAATAGGCAAACAAGTAAAATTTGTACTGAATTCTTTCCAAAATGCAGAATAAATTTGGACGATACGTCAAGGACGAATTTATGCCTGGTAATTAAGAAGAACTACATAAAAAAAAATAAAAAATTAAAAGCTCCATCCCAATTGGATTATTTTGGTTGCTCATGCATGTGATTTAACCAATAATGGCCACAATATATATAAAATACAGATTCATGAATCTGACTTAAATAATTTTTCACTAGAATAAATTAAGTATTGATTCTCTAATTATGAATAAAACAATTTAATCAATTAATTAGTTGAATCATGAAGAATAATTTTTTTTTCTACCCAGTAAAAAAGTAGAGAATAATGTCTTAAACACTACCACTTACCATTTTTAAAATGGAGTAAATATACGAGAAAATGAACTTTTTCTGTTGGACTTTAAATTTATTAATTAGAATGACAACATTAAGTAGTTATAACAATCGATTCTAAATTTAATATTTGTACATATTAATATATTTTCTTAACACAAATATACCATTTGGGTAAAAATTATTAAATGCAATCGAATTTGTGTCCGAACTTCTAACTCTAGCATGGATTTTGATGTATATGTGGTTTTCGTATAGGTAAGTTATACATTTATAATACATAGTCACCTAACTAGGAAAGAAACAAATATATATACATGTAAAATAAGTGAGATAAGCTTATAATATTAGTGCTTCATTCCCCAATGTGAAGCCAAAGTTTCAGTTTCATGGACTTACAAGCCAAGCAAACTTTTGTGTTACTTCAACCAGCTATAAATCTGCCATTACCCTGTTATTGTGTTGGATAAATAAAAATATAGAATATATCCTACTGTTAATTTGCTAACAATTGAGGTGAGGCTCCATTTTATTTTTGTTATAAATTTACATTTTTCTAAACTTTTATTTGTTTATGAAAAAAACACTATTTGGCTTGCCTATTTGATATAATTCCAAGATTTCTCTGAATTTAAAAATGATCGTTTTGCAAGTTTTAATATCAAGGTTCATTTCCATTTTTCTGAATCTTTATTTGTTTTCGGGAAAATAGGATTTGACTCCGGATTCACACATTGTCTTAGTAGCTCAGTTGGTCTATTACTTGAATTTCCTTGTTGATGAAAGTTCGATTCCCACCTTGTAATTCCATCCCCTACTCCCATTTTTTAATAAGACTTCGGATTTCCCATTTCTATTAATTCTAGGATTTATCTAAACTTGAAAGCCATTATTTTGTAACTGTTGAAGAATGAAAAAGTCTCACATTGATGATTGATGAAAATGAATTATCTCCTTATATGAACTTGGATAATACTCTTCTCAAAAGCTAGATTTTGGGGTTGAGTTAGGCCCAAAGTCCATTTCTTTACGTAACTGTCCTTTATTTGTTCTCGAAGAACAGGATTTGATTCAGGATTGCCCTGCCAATTACCTATAGCAAGGCTCAATCCTGTTCGTAGTGAATCAGAAGCAATGGTGATGAACTTTTTGGTGACTACAAAGGGATCAGAAGGAGGCAATTTCATAACACCATCAGGACAAACTCCAAATGGTGTGCTTGATCTGTCAGTCATAGACAGTTTAGCTGTTCTTCGATGCAATGCTCGTACACTACACGTCTTTAAAGGAGGAAATGCTATTGTCATTCAAGAGGCATTTGGAAAAGCTTTGGTTCCTTATTACCCACTAGCAGGTCGTCTGAAATTCTCAGCACACAATAACCAGCTTCTCCAGATTGATTGTTCGGGTCAGGGAATTTGGTTTGTTGAGGCTTCTGCTGATTGTACTCTCCTCGATGTCAACTACTTCGATGAAGCTTCAGCTTTAGATGACACTACTTTTAATAAACTTCTACCTCAACAAATTCATTCTTCTACTCCACTTCCTGTTGGTTATGACTCTTTCATTGACCCACTGGTGCTTGTGCAGGTAAACAACTAGCTATATATATATATTAGTGCACATATGTTCAGAGAGAACTAGGTGATAAAATAGTTAACGATACGATTGTCATTGTCATGATCATGTACAGGTAACTGAATTTAAGTGCGGTGGATATGTTATGGGACTTACTTTCTGTCACAGTATATGTGACGGACTGGGTGCTGCACAGTTTCTAAAAGCAGTGGGTGAGTTCGCTAGGGGTGTTGAGAAACTGAGCGTTGCACCAGTGTGGTGCAGGGAGCTTCTCCTCCCACCTCCACAAAAAGGAGTTGCAGAAGACAACTCGTCAATGCCACCACCACTCACTATTCCAGTACCAGATCAGCGGCTGGAGCATGCTAGTTTCAACATTCCCCTGGATGAGATCAATCAGCTAAAACACCAAGTGATGCAAGAGTTAAAAATGGATCAAAATGTGTTTTGTTCCTCCTTTGAGATTATAGCTGCTACTTTGTGGAGGCACCGAACCCGAGCAATTTGGAATATAACAGATGACAAGAAGAATCCCTCCAACTCCTCGTCGAATACAAGCTTTATTGCTGCAGATGATGCAGGTCAGTAGCAGAGTTACAACCATCAGAGGATGGCCAATTGACCCCCTCATCAGATGATTATACTCTATATACATACTCAATTTTGAATACTCTCAGTGAAATTCGTGATTTTGCCACTAATGCAGGTGATGAAGAAGTGAAACTCGTGTTCTTCGCTAATTGTCGACAACTAGTGCCGCTACCAGAAGGGTTCTACGGGAACTGTTTCTTCCCGGTGACTGTAACGGCTTCAAACAAAGTAGTGGCAGAAGCATCTCTTGCTGAGGTAGTGAAGCTGATCAAAGATGCCAAGGCAAACCTACCAGCAGAATTTTCACAATGGCTCAATAACAAGACTAACAAATCTACGAATGATGATCAATTCAACGATCCATTCGCACCAGGACCAGGAGTGGGCTACAACACATTGTTTATCTCGGAGTGGGGACGATTGGGTTTTAACGAGGTTGATTATGGATGGGGCAAACCTGTGCATGTTATACCAGTACAAGGGTCTGCTGTGATACCTGTAGGCATTGTTAGCAAACAGCCTTTGCCTAAAAATGGCATTAGGCTCATGACTTGGTGCGTCCACAGCCACCATCTTCCTACATTTCTCAACATGATGAACAAGGATCATGATGATGCTCTAACTAATTAATGTCTCTCCTGCTATCAAAAAGTGTATTCATTAACTTGTGTGATTTCTGTTAATATATGTATTTGTTGCCTGTGTGACTTCTGACATTTTTTACACATACAAATGTGTCAAATCTGTCCCCAATATAGCCCCTCCGTAGAGCAGCACAACCTAAACAACCCCAAATTTCTTGATAACAACAGATACGTTAATTGTTTTGTTCTAAGAAGTAAACAAAATCCTAACTCATCGACTTCATCCTTGCTCCAAAGAAGCAAAAACCTAGCCGAGGGATGACTGCACTATTTAAACCATACTCTTACTACTACTACTACAAAAAAAAACATGTTTTTTTTATGACTGTAGGCCAACTTTCACGCACCTCGATTAATTCCAAGGGTTACTTGCCACCTTCCACCAGCAACATGTACCAAGTAACTCTATCCACCAAGGCTAGAACAGATGGAAAGAATCACCTAGTGTTTTTTGATGACCGTGGTGTCTGGGCCACCTATAAAAATCATGTTATCTTCTACAGAAATTTAATATTGTACGTGTTTGAAGAAAGCAGTTTGTGTCTGTGCTAGAACACATAAAAGAGGATGTGACAGTGAGTTTGTTTGGTTTTAGTTCCTCTCGAGATGTGGTTAAACCAAGGCAAATTCTCATTAATATATGAACATGCCACAGTCAATCATCGTCACTTTCATCACTATATGAAACCAAACCACCTATTGTAACAGGTTCGTGGTTGTCAGCATTAGCACTAGGTCTTTTTGTTAATCTCTGGGATTCTTTTGTTTCAGATTTGGATACGTTATCAACATCTGATGAAGGCTGTTTTTTGTCATCATTGGATGCTTTGGTAGCTGTTGTCAAAGAAGAGACGGAAGATGCCAGATCCATCTTAGCTTTCTTAGCTTGTGGCTTGATTTTGACAATCATTCCCAATGGATTAGCTGGAGGATTCTTCCTCTTAATTAATTTCGGCTCCTGCATCAACCAACAATGCAATGCGTTACATCTTGCCAAATGTTGTCTCTTAATGATATTGATATACACCACACACAAAATTCAACATCAATTATATTGGTCGTGTAACAAGTACTCCCCTTTCCCTTCCCTTATAGAATGGCATAGTTAAGAGTAGAATGACTGAGAAGGCAATTTGTTTATTGTATAAGACAGGAACCCTATGCCCACAGGAAAATGTGAAATACGGAAGATATCCAGCAAAACTTACCATTCATCTAAAATTGGAAACTTACTATTGATATCAAAGAAAGAAGTTTCAGATTCTAAATTTAATTAACTGAATCTTGAATAGTTGACAAGAAGGGGTTGTTCAGATGGTAAGCCTTCTTCCACCTCTAACCCTAAGGTAGTGAGTTCGAGTCACCAAGGGAGCAAAAAGAAAAATGGGAGCTCCTAGGCAGCAGTAAAAAAAGAATATTGAATAGTTTGATCACAGGCTTTTCAAGTTCTCGCTAGTAAATCAATAGATGTTGCAGCATGTCATTTTTGCTTACCTCCTAGCTGTCACTTGCCAACCAACAATTCCTCTTCTTTTCACTGATTAATCAGCTTTATCATCTATATATTTTTGATTCCTTCAACATTTTTTTTTTTGGGGTGGGGATGGGGGTGGGGGTGGATTTCCTTCTTTTTCATTATTGTTATTTTTATCGGGGAATTTCCTCTTCTTTTCACTGAGTAATCAGCTTTATCATGGGTAAAATTACTGATTCCTTTTATTAAAAAGTTTGGTTGGGGAATTTATCTCCCTTCTGAATTTACTTATTCCTTGGTGCTAATTTTCTTGTTAGTTGGTTTGCTGTGTGGTGTAGAAATTATCACTTATCACCAACACGAACTTGTACTTACATTTCTTGATAAAAAATGGATTTGTATATAAGATCAATTCCAAGATATTGACAGAAAGACTAAAAAAGGTGGTGCACAAGCATTAAATGACATTCGGAGACGGATAATGGATGCATCTTTGATCACCAACAACTGTGAGGATACTAGTTTGAGGGGTCAAATACCAGGAGTTCTATGTAAATTGGAGAAGCATATGACCATGTCAATTGTAACTTAACTAATTCTTGAAGGATATGGATTTGGGGAGGAAATGGATTAAATGGACGTTCTTCTGCATCAGCATTGTAAGGTTTTCTATTCTTATTAATGGCTCTTTTGTTTTTACAAAAAAAACAAAAAGGTACAAAAGACCACTGTCTTAAAATCGATCATTGCCAATTAAATCAACTAAATCACCTACTTCCCCTCATATATTTTGTTACACCAAAAAAAGAGCAGACTATGACAATTTATCCTAATTTTATGGATAGAACTGCTAGTGCCTTCAAAAATCTGGAATTCCTTTCTTTCCACACACTCCACCAGATGCAAGCAAGAATGATTTTCCACCTAATCCCTGAGGAACTGGTTAGGCGATGAGACACATGCCCTAAGGCACTGGCTAGGATGATGAGACGCATGCCCTGAGGCACTTCCTAGGCGAAACGCCAGCATGACCGCCCTGACGTGCACCTAGCTTTGTCATTTTTCAATGTTTATGAAAGACCATTGGTATCTCAGTTCAGAGAGACTATGAAATCATTAAAAAGAAATAACATTGTTGATAGTTCAGATAAAAGACCAACAGCCATTTTGGTATTAGTTCCACATACATGTCACATCATTTGACCATTTATTAATATATCATAAAACTAAGGCCATACAGCAGAAGTGAAGGCAGAGAATTTCAAAAATTGGGCGCGATGCTGATAAAATGGTGGCTAAGAAACAATAAGACACGATCATTAAAAATACAGTACTTTTCTCAAGGCATAATCAGTTTAGAGACTAACCTGGACTTTGGGAAACAAGAGGCATCTCCTTGATTTCGTGTACTATCGTAGACTTTGCAGCAACAGCAGCCTAAAAAACCCAAGAATAAGATCAGCATTCTTCATAGACCCTAGAGAATGCTCATCTTCTTGAAAACGAGCTAAAAGGGACATATGAGAGTTGGAATGAAGGATAAGGGATTTTCATTTATTTTTTTATTTTTATGGTTATAATATTTTAATTATGCGAAATGGAAGTTGGATTAGAATATTTGAAAGTTTAGGGTTAAAATTAAAAAATTTATGAAACCCACCAAAAACCCCAAAACTTACCCTTAATTTTAACCCTAAACTTTCAAATATTCTAATCCAACCCCCATTTTGCATAATTAAAATATTATAACCATAAAAATAAAAAAATAAATGAAAATCCCTTATCCTTCATTCCAACTCTCAAATGCCCCCAATGAAGTTGAACAATGACACTAAATTACTTGAAAACTTCGCAGCTGCTCATCTTCTTCATCAGCCACTTGCTTCTCATATTCTCTCCTTGACTAAATGGATCAAAGAGTTAATGAAAACTATCAAAGGTATGATGCATGCATAAATACGTCTGTGTTCACACACACACACAGAGACATGTACACATACACAAATGCATTGAACAATGAAGAGTCAACAAGTTAGAGAGTATCAAATAGTTATATCTTTATTTCCTTCTAATGCAAATAAATTGAGCCTAATACCATTTTTCTCGGGAACTAGTCTGTCCATTGCAAACCAATAGTGGAGTTCACCATCATTGAAGCGTTTTCACACACAAGGATATCAAGAACACACTAAGTGAGATTTTCCTAAACTAATAAGAAAGATAAGAGATTGAAATAAACATATTCATATAAGTACGTAAAACCAAATTTCCATGTATGAACTACAAAAGAATGTAATCATTTTCTTTTGCAAAACGAAGATAATCACTTTGGCACATAGAATTGAATAACTTTAACCTACACCAGATGGGAAGTGCCATACAAACCAACAAGATAAGCCTTATAAAAAAGAATATGGAAAGGGGAAGTTCTAGAGATCGGGACATATACCCTTTACCTGTAAATTTGAATCACAGGTGCAGGACTTCTCATGCCATATAACAGGAGTATATGCTCCAAATTGCTATGTGGAAAGAAGACTAGTATGGGAAGAAATTGGCCCTATCAGAGGTTTAATAGAAGGTCCATGGGAAGTTTATGGTGATTTTAATGAGGCTAGATATGTCTCGGAAAAGAGGAACTGTATCAGGAGAACAATAGGGATGCGAGAGTTCTTTGATTTGATCGAGGATCTAAACCTAGTTGATCTTCAACTAGAAAATGCAAAGTTCACCTGGTTCAAAGGGGATAACCACCTGATAACTTCAAGAATTGACAGGGTCTTGGTATCTCAAGAATGGGATGATGCTTTTAGCAACTTGAAACAGTACACTATGTAGAGAATATTATCAGACCACTCTCCAATCACACTCCAAGGTGGTTCCTGGAAGAAGAGCAAGAGCTATTTTAAGTTTGAGAACTGGTGGTTAGGGACTGAAGGTTTCATTGACAGAGTAAGGACATGGTGGAACTCTTTTGATTATACTGGGAGGCCTGATTACATCCTTGCATCCAAATTAAAAGCGCTAAAACACAAACTGAAGGAGTGGAGCAGAAGTGAGCAAGGGAATCTAGGCCACAGAGGAAATCTTTACTTGAAAAGCTGGCTGCTATGGAAAACATTGCTACTGATAGAGGTCTAACTGAGGATGAGGCAACAGAAAAGGCAAGGTTACTTCTGAACTTGGAGGATCTGATAAAAAATGAGGAGATCTACTGGAGGCAAAGATCAAGATCAATTTGGTTAAAGGAAGGGGATAAGAACACCAAGTTCTTCCATAAGATAGCTAATGCACACAAGAGGTACAATAACATAGACCAACTGCTAGTCCAGAGGAACATTGTCCAAGAACCAAAAAGAATCCAAGGGGAAATAGTGGAGTTCTATAGAAGCTTTATACAGAGGAGTTGCAGTGGAGACCTGCCAACAATTTTTTAAATTGCCCAAGGTTGACAGGGGAGGAAAAGGAGGATCTTGGAAGAAGCTTTCATGAGGAAAAAGTTCTAAGGTGTTTAAAGCAGTGTGCAACTGATAAAGTACCAGGACCAGATGGCTTTACTATGGGGTTTTATATCAAATGCTGGGAGGTG